CCATGGTCAGACTCCAGGCTGAGGTTTTGAAAAGGTCTGACCCACTTCATCTGCCTCTAAAAACTGTGCACCCAGTTTCCAAAATACCACAGCTAATATGGGCTTTTTTTTTTTTTCTTCCAAACTCTGAGATCCCAGGAAAAAAAAAAAAAGAGAACTGACAAGTCCCAAAGATATTCATGACATTGTCAGTTTTACCTGAGTTTGAACCCCTGTCCAAAGAACAATGCTTATCCATCAGTATTTTGGATGTCTTGTAATCCATGCTCAGACCAGGCTGTGGCTAGAATGGATCCTATGAGTAGATCTGGGGAGGAGAGAAATCCAAATATTGATTTTGCTTGACTTTTTCCTAGGCTTTGATGCTATTAACAAAGAACATCAAATATCAGCTGATACACCTGCGTAAGTAGTTGTCAAATAACTAGTGCTTCTGTCACTGCTGATAAAGACTGGGTTTGAATTCGCTGAGAGAAGGAAAAAGCTTTTCCCTCTGTTTTCCTGTCTATGGCATCAGCCAGTCCTTAAACCCAGTTTAAAATCCCTTGTCAGTAGGCACGGCTGGAAACTGCTTGTGTTGCAGTGTTTTCTATGCCATTTTGCTCAACCCATTTGGGATGTGCATTGTGATACTTTTTGCAGGCGGTTTCTAGTTCATATTTTCTTTTTTTAATCAGGCAGAGACATTACAATTAAAATACCGTAAAAGTGATTCTGGCAGTTTTGCAATAAGCATGTTTTTTAATTAAAGAAAGAACATGGGATCTACAAATAGTACCAGCTAATGGGAAATTTCTTTCAATGTATTTTTTAATTGAGATTTAAAAGGAAGAAAAGTCAGCCCTATTTCTCCCTGTCGCTGTGTGATATTTTCCTATGTTGTTACTGTGAGGTGTACCAAGTCTGCAATAATTACAGTCTCAGAGCCTTAAAGTCCCGGCTGTTTTCATGGAAAAAAACAAAAGACATCAGTTCTTTAATTTGTTAGTATGGGTTTTTTTGCAGGAATTCAGTGTTATTCAGTAGAGTGCAGCTCACAGAGCTGGATATTCCTGGAGGAAGGGTTTTAGCACCCCAAATCTGTAGCAATTTGATGTTTTTTTCAGTTCTTCCCCCACCTGTAAACCCTGGTTCATGTTTGGGTATGGGCTGCAGTTTTCTGTTTCTGATCCTATTTAGGATGGGCTTACAGCACATGCATTAGACTCCCAGGGCTCTTGCTTGCCAATGGAATTGATTTTCTGCAACTTTGGCAGCTCTTGAGAGTCCTCTGGGGCGTTGCAGGATGAACAGATCAGTGGAAGCTAATCCCAGCCGAGGAACTGCACACAGCTCCCGCAGAGACTGGGCTGAAACCCGAGGCAGCACCATCCACTTCCTCCGCTCGCTGGCATGGAAGGAGGAGAGGACATACCCCTTTTGGGGAAGAAGGTGCTGCTTCTAACCATGGGATGGAAAGATCTGCTGAGTCTGCCTCCACCTGTCCTGGACACTAATCAGGCCCTCATTACTGTAGCAGCTTCATACCATTAGTAGATTTGTCCTCACACACTTTTATGTGGTACAGAAATACAGCTGTTGCGACCTGTAATTATTTATTATAATAATAATAATAACAACAATATACAAAGCAAGTGATGCACAATGCAATTGCTCACCACCTGCCGACTGATGCCCAGCCAGTCCCCGAGCAGCGGCCCCCCCGGCCAGCTTTCCCCAGTTTCTGTACTGAGCATGACGTCCCATGGTATGGAATGTCCCTTTGGCCAGTTGGGGTCAGCTGTCCTGGCTGTGCCCCCTCCCAGCTTCTTGTGCCCCTCCAGCCTGCTCAGTCGGTAGAG